ATAGAATAGAATAGAATAGAATAGAATAGAATAGAATAGAATAGAATGAACTGGAAGGAACCTTGGAGGTCTTCTAGTCCAGCCCCCTGCCGAAGCAGGAGAACCTATATTATTTCAGATAAGTAGCTGTATAGACTCTTCTTAAAAACATATATTTTGTTTTCATTGTTAAAACAATATTATACTTTTCTGAATTTCCATTTGATCCCAATGGGTGGACCTCTTGAGGTAGGAAAGAATTGAGAAGAGCTAGGAGCCAAAGGCCTGCTTTGCAAGGGGGAACAAAGCCATAGAAAGACTTAATTTTGCATGATTAAAAGAAGAATATGCTTCAACAAGGGCATCAATTTGCTTCTCTTTGAAGGTGTTGGTTAAGTTCTTTCTTGAAGTACTTTTCCAGGGGGATTTGAGAATGTTCCTTTTGATTTGTATCGAGTTCATCTGCCAAAAAACTCGACTTCAGATTAATTTTAAGCTTTACATAGTGTATAATCAAATGCCTCATGTCAAAACCAGCTCGGGGTGGCCCACCGGAGCTTGGAGATGTGTAGTCTGGGGGATGGAGAGAGAGAAAATGGCAGACGTGAAAGTGGGTGAGCGTTTGTTGTCTAATGTCTTGTGGACATCACAGGAGGTGAATTGTAGACTTCACGGCTACCAACCAATCAAGGCTGTGAGAGAAAGTCTTATTGAATTCTTGATACTATCCAAGTCTGATTGCTCCAATAAACACAAGTGCCAGTTCATCAGCCATTTCTGCTGTTTGCTTTGAAAGGTAGCAAACAGGAAGCCCAGACAGGAAACAAGACCAGATAAAGTAATTCTACTTTGACATGAACAGAATTTTGCAAGGCTGAAAGGCAAACCATCTTCTGGAAAGCTAAATCATCTTCTGAGCCTATTTCTCCACCGTTCATGTATATTTATCCTCCTTTTAGGGAGATGCACCGTTTTTCCACCTGTAAGGAAAACATGGCTAACTAGTAATGGTTGAAATGGAAGGAAATGTTGCTAAAACTTGCAAACACAGAGAGAGAGATGAATTCAAACTTTTTGGGGAAAGAATGTAGATAGTTATAGGGTGTTGTCTTTGGTGCTGAACCGTTTTTGACTATTCGTCTAAATTAATCAGAAGAGTTTGTATGACTCTCCCTCCCTCTCCCTCTCTCTCCTTCCCTCCTTCCCTCCCTC